TAGGGGTGTTATAATGTCACGGTTAATCCCACTATTCGTTGGTAAAAGAGTAGCCCAAGAGGGTGGTGATGACTAGCTGCTCTTCCTCTAGTCTTACACTGCTAAATTAGGGACGGCTAGCGCAGATAGCCCTCGTGTAGCTTTGCGCGAAATTCAAAAACAAACAAACAAACAAGACTTGTGGTTAATACGTCGTAAATAAAAAAAAAGCGATTATACTGACAATCTGTTCAAGAAAATAAGTTTAAATGCATGGATTTAAAAATATTATCAATCTTCCTTCATTCACCTACTGGATCTCATGGGAGCTCAGCAGTAAGCTTGGGGTTATATAGCTCTAAATCTAGGATTCGATCCCTGTGTTGGATACAGCGAAGATAAGCCGCTGTGTGGCTTTGCAGTTAACAAGAAACAAACGAATAAACCTGCTATTGGCAATTTTTTAATAGCGAAGTAAACTAGAGACTGAAACATTAGAAATATTGAATGCAATTTGTAGCTTAATACGCCATGTTTATAAATGGCGATTATTCTAGGACTAAATATAAAAACAATAATCTGTACTATTGATTTTCAGTGAGATAAAATCGTGCATCAACGAAAATCAGATATAGCAATTGAGAAAATGACCTAAAAGGCTGTAATGCTTTCGATGAATAGTCCAATTGTCATCACGAACAAATGAGGGTAAGTAGAGAAGGGTGAAAGAAAACGAATAGACAAAGATAAACCAGAAATTAAAGAATGTGGTGCAAAAATGTGCAACTAATTAGTAGAAAGATAGAATAAAAACTTTTGAGAAACAAGCAACACAAATCTAAAACAACAATAAAGAAATTAACAGTTAAAAACTACGACTGAAGATAAAAATCAATTTTGGATATTATTTCATAAAATGACTAAAATGGACATAATGTGTTATTGATCCAACGAAAACATTTTAATTTCATGATGAAAGGCTTGGTTTGTTTGAAGTTAAGCACAAAGCTACACAGTGGGCTGTCTGTGTTCTGACCACTATGGGTATCGAAACCCGGTTTTTAGTTTTGTAAGTCCGCAGACATACCATTGTGCCATTAGGAGGCAGATGAAAGGCAAACCAATGTCTCAGTTAGGGAAGTGATAAAAATATATTACTCGGAATTTTCTTTTCAAATAATGTTGACGATTTTATAATTGGAAATTCGTGTTTAGATTAACCCATAATACGTCCCAGCCGTTGAGGACTTATTAGTATGGGGATGTTCAATATCCAGACTCTAAAATCGTTTCTTCATGTTTGCTAGAAACTGGAAAATATGATAAATTTTGGTGCAATTTTCTTTTTTTTATATACTACAATCAACAGCCAAGCTATAACGTTAAAGAAGTGCGAACAAGATTCTGACAAAGCGACAGGTGTCTTCTTGTAATAAACAAGTTTGATGTTTTCAACGCGTGACGGCCGTTTGTTGTTTATACGTGACCATCAAAAACCAAATTGATGCTTTTGTAATATATCATTATTAACCTACATATGTGATTACTCCAGCAGTCCTTTAGAAATATGATGCTTAATCGGTATAACCCACCCAAATATATGCTTAAAAAGGTAATTTTTCAGCTATTAGAAACCGTGAGCAAGGTTCTTCATCGTTTAAGGACATACACAACTAAAACATAAATACCATGGCCATGAAGCTGTTATGATGTGTTTTTGCCAAGGGTTTCTCATTTTAAAACTTTTGTATACATATATATATATATATATAGACTGGAAAATTGAAAGCCTTTATCTACGTATGTGTATATGAAAAAGTAGGTTTCATTTGTTTAATCGCGAACATAACCTTGCCTTACATAAGATCAATTGTTTATCTGATGTTTAGCGCAAAGCTACTAGATAGGCTACATGTGATGTGCCCATCACAAGGATTGAACACCAAAATTTACTGTTATGCGCCACTTGGATGAGGGGATATATAACAAAGAAAAAGGAAGAGACCACAACAATACCATTAAGAAGTAAACAAAAAGGTATTTCATTAAAGTTCAGGCAACATTAAGTACTCTTAGTTGTCACTATTACTCTTTTATACTCACATTAGTTCAACACCAATAAAATAACTGTCTTTTTGAATTTCAAATGGTTAAACGAAGATTAAACAAAATCTAATTTCCTCGTCTATTATATTACGTAAAGGTTATAAAACATTGCTTATTAGAAATGTATTCAGTACTGTAAATTAATTCGTTTGTTTAATTAAATTTTTATCTTGTATTTACATTTTCTAGTAATTGTACATTCAGTTACTAAGGATAAAATGCAAAAATCCTAGAGACAGACAGATAGTGTTCAGTTTTGTAAAACAGAAATGTATTTTGAAATGAACTATATACATATATATAAGACCCCCCTCTCCCAGTAGGTAAACGGTACGTTTATGCCCTTTCGACGCTAAAATCC